GTTGTACTAGTTTGTCTCATCACTCATGAGTAGGACCATCAACAACACTTTTAAGCTTCTGTTTTCTATGCTTTAACCTGTTTTTATCTACAGATTACTCTCTATCCGCTTTGAAATTTATGTTTCTGCATATTAATTATTATTATATTTGTGCATATTTATTTCACTGCATATTTTAGTACAACCTAGAATTTCACTTACATCACTGTATGATATCAGCTATGGCTCATAGCCATAGCTAGCGATATCTTTTGGTGAGTTCAACTCGAACGCAAAGCAAGAGGGCGGAGCTCTATAGATTTATTTGCTGGCGAAATGAAATATGTATATTCGCCCCTGATCGCACTTTGCTTGTGCAATCGCGAGACTACATTAACCCATTAGGGACGACGAGTTTTAAAGTTTGCCGATTTTGATGCCGTTTAACACACTAGGTCACTTTACAGCAAAAATGAGATATCCAAAAAAGCTAATCTGTATCTCGTTTACTTTAAAAGATACAGCTATGGTCGCATACGACCCACTCGTCCGGGTCGCAAACGACCCATCACGGTTTTTCGGCTTTAACTTCTGAAACAAAGACGTTAGGATAAAATAAAATAAAAAGCATAAGTTAAAAACATATGGTCAATACTGTGTGACTCTAACTTTTTAAAAATAAAGAATTTGGGTCATTAACGACCCACTCGGCTCACTTGCTTATTACTACATATGTCCATGTAACTTCTTGAATTCAGCCTAAAGCATGACATCATAAGTTCAAAATCGCCTCTCAGCAAGTGATAATCATCATAAACTGCGAAAAATCGGTTAAATGGGTCATTAGCGACCCACTAGGACCACAAAATTGATTAATTAAATATAATGTTGTAAAACTTTTACAAATATTAGTATAAAAACATGTTATATCTTGGTCATTACTCCTGTACGTTGATTTAAATTTTAAAATCGATCAACTGGGTCAATAACGACCCACTCGGAAGTTGAACCACGACATTAATTATCAGTATCATGTTGTTCTACCATCAAGAAAGACACTCGTAGGTCTTAATTCCACGCAAACCACGGGTGGCTGACTACTAGCCCTTCTGAGATCTGGAGTCTCACGGTAATCTGCAGATCACGTCACCCAATGACTGACGAATAATGGGCAGAATTGGATTGATAGGTAGGTGAGTTTATCAGCTGTTAGTACACGACCGTAAAGTCGTGAGACAGCAAACAACATGCCTATCTTTTCCCGATTCCTAGAACGTCCAAGAAGAACTATACAACTGCTGGATTCAGATTTCAGATGGCTGCATCTACTCTCTTCGCAGCTCCCTTTCTTTACTTCTTAGGGGCCGTTCATATATTACGTAATCACTTATTGGACAATTTTTACGCCCCCCCCCCCCACCACATAGCTATTATGTCAAAATTACACAAGCTTAATCATTTGGAAACTCCCCTCCCTCTCGGCCGATTACGTAATACTTGTTTTCGTTTTGAAAGCTGCCTCGTTGTTGCGGGGTTTGTTACCCAAAACGAGGTAGTTGTCTGAGAGATTGCAGGTTGCAGCACCGCCAGCCAAATGGGGGGGGGGGGGGGGGGGGGCTTTTTCCTTGTCCTTCTTCACAGAGCTGTAGATGTAGCCATCTGAATGCAGCAGTTGTTTAGTTATTCTCGTACTTTCTAGGAATGAAAAAAACATATTGGCATGTTGGATTAGAATATGCAATTTGACCACTCGTCTTTCAGTATTTACCCAAGGTTACATGATATCTCGTATACTTCGTTCAGGGGATTTTTCTTGAGTGACATGATCTGATCACCGTGGGACCCTGGGTCTCAAGCGGTGGGTTGTAGCAGGTCGTTTACCAAGATTCGAAATTGACGAAAAAGGTAACAGAATCTAATAAGCAACAACAGCAGCATGGCTATTACCTAGCAAGTTAGGAACGAGGGCCGATTCCTTTTCTTTTGCGGCACGGCCACGGTCCTTTCGGTACAGATTTCCACGCACCATAGTATTATAGTCAGGACGCAACTTCAGGCATATGCAGTAGTGTTATTCTCGCAGCTCTTTGATGAGTGATGACGGCCCTTCAGTTGGCCCTGGATCTCAGAAGGGCTAGTAGTCAGCCACCCGTGGTTTGCGTGGAATTAAGACCTACGAGTGTCTTTCTTGATGGTGGAACAGCATGATACTGATAATAATTGATGAGGTGGTTCAACTTCCGAGTGGGTCGTTATTGACCCAGTTGATCGATTTTAAAAGTTAAATCATCGTACAGGAGTAATGACCAAGATATAACATGTTTTTATACTAATATTTGTAAAAGTTTGACAACATTATATTTAATTAATCAATTTTGTGGTCCTAGTGGGTCGCTAATGACCCATTTAACCGATTTTTCGCAGTTTATGATGATTATCACTTGCTGAGAGGCGATTTTGAACTTATGATGTCATGCTTTAGGCTGAATTCAAGAAGTAACATGGACATATGTAGTAATAAGCAAGTGAGCCGAGTGGGTCGTTAATGACCCAAATTCTTTATTTTTAAAAGGTTAGAGTTACACAGTATTGACCATATGTTATTAACTTATGCTACAGTTTTTATTTTATCCTAACGTCTTTGTTTCAGAAGTTAAAGCCGAAAAACCGTGATGGGTCTTTTGTGACCCGGACGAGTGGGTCGTATGCGACCGCAGTTAGTAAACAGCGTCTAGCTCTGTTTGTGAACATCTGATTATCACGGGCTTTTCATATGTCTCAAGGAAATCGTTGCCCGCAACTATTTTGTCCTCAACAAAATAAGCCTACATAAAGTTTTAATGTCCCAATCAAGGCAAGAAGTAAAGTGAAATATTTTCCAATTATGACGACTAATTAGCCTAATTATTTAGTTGTTAGTAATTAATTGGGTCTCGACTGGAAAGTCAATAATGTAGCCCAATAAATTTTGAGCATATGTGCGAAAGATTCGTTGCGTTTAGTATTATGGTTTGTCCTCTATAGCCTCTAGAAAAGGTGGGTCGTAAACGACCCTATCGTCCCTAATGGGTTAACATACAGTTGACCATAAAGTACGACACAAGCCTTTCATAGATCTTCATATTCCATCCTATTTATTGGCTATTATTTGACGTTAAAATTGATAGACAGAATCGGCAATGTACGATCGGGTTAATATAAATATAAGCATGAAAATTGCCGTAAGTGTTAAGACTGTTCAAGATCAACATAAAACGAATATCGTATCTATATCCTATGATCCGAGAAAAAAAAATTTCACCTGAAATGAAATGACGTATTTATATCCCGCTCATACGATTAACCAACAACACAAGGAAGGTGGTTAACCATGTCAGAGCGGCTGACTGTGAGTGATGTGAGCAAATGTGTAAAATGAACAAGAGTATAACTCAATATAAGGCTACTAAGACAAAATTAAAACATCTTTAATTGTAAACCACACTAAACTAAAACGAAGCAGAAACCATACAATACATGTAGGTATAAAAAAAACAAAAAAACATAAGAACACACAGCTGAGTTCTGCGTTGTCGGGGCAACTATTTGTCACCACTAGTCTGACGTCCGTAATTATTAGCTTCGCCACTCGGCAGGATGCATCTGATGACAGTGAGCCCACACTGAGAGGAGCCGGCCAGCTCGAGTGAAGGACCAGGCGCCAGAAACAATCTGAAAACAATTTAGAAGTAGTTCGGCAGCTACTGTCAACTTGATCACCGTCCCTCTGTCAGGCTGGTATGTTCAGGGAATAATAAGTTCTTTATACTTTTATACAGTGCGTACGTGTTGTACAAGAGCAGGCGCCAGAAACGCGTCCCTAAAAACAATTTAGAAGCAGTTCGGCAGTTAATGACAATTTGAACTCAGGCGCACTTTTAAGAATTTTATAGATCTGCATTAAAATCAGGTACGTGCTGTAAAAGTTCTCTATACAGGGTGACGGGTGTTATACCTTATAACGTTAAGTTTCTCTATTTGATTTTGATACAACGATTACCTGATTAATTCGAGTGATGAACGTTATGCACGAGAATCACGATTGATGCAGCTATCACAGGAAACCGGCCCCGTTCTACCGTATTCATTCATTAGTAGTACTTATTTATTGAGTACCTACTGTTATCTCACTTATTGTCAACATTAATTAAATCTGCAACGACTTAAAATGTCGACATCAATATAGTTATTTGACGGCCATATCTTCCCAAAACGGGAAAGATTCAACTTGCCACAGAGATTTCAGAGACCTATGTAACAGTTCTTAATATTGTAATATACTGTTATAAGGTATCTAAATCTGATATTCTATATGTCAAGTGAAAACATAAGAATAACACAGTAACTTAATTCAACAATAGTACGAGAATTCCTATTACTCAGTATTACACTGATTGCACTTATTACTCAGCTATTGGATGATTTCATTATAAAAATTACGATGATCTCGACTTGGAACACCTTATGCATTTTAACACTATTGACATAACTTTGCCGTATTTGGCTAAGATTGCCAGTGTTAGCCTGCAATAGTTTATCGTAAACCGATTCGTTTTTGGTCCATGTTTGGTACTGTGTACAGTGTGTATTATATGTATTCTATGTAGCATGTAATCTTACAGCAATATACTAATACAATGTTTGTAGTGTAGGAGCTGATTATAGCGCGGGCTCGAAGCTTTAGCAGTACGATTGACTTGACAAACCTTTTGCTTAACGTGTAGGGAGTAGTGGCGTTGATAGTCAGAGTGGCCTGAAATATAGCGTTGAAAATGTCAACAGACTATATTCTTCTATCGGAACTTGACAATTGCGTTCGGTTTTAGGAATACCCTTGATTGAACAAACATTCGTTCAAATTTGTAACAACAACCCCCATGCAACTTATTATTTGAAATTGACCCCGTATTAACTGCTCATTAATAGCCCCAGTGGATACTGGACATATAACTATTTATGATAAACCCCTGATTTCCTAAGCAATGAGCTCCTCCTGGGACACATGGGTGTCCTACTTCCGGGACTCCGTTCAGAACATGATGCTTAACGAGGAGCAGATCAAGGAGTCCCTCCTGAAGGAGTGCCACACTAAAGCTGCCCTGTTTTGCCCCTCTTCCGGCAACCCTCTAGCCGCTGATCAAGGTATGGAACTGTGATTTTAAGGCCTTAATTTTCGTCCTTCAAGTTTCAGAGAAAGATTTCGTTGTGGTCATTAATAATCTGTTTAAGAAACTGATTCTTCAACTTGGGCCATGATATTCCATTCATAAACATCTCATTTTTGATTTGATAACTCACTCAATAATCGTAGTGCTCAATAATCTTTGTATTAATAATATTACTAATATGAGGTCAAAAGTAAGAATATAAAATTTCAGAGATTTCTTAGAACATTAAAAAACGAAACACAGGATTGCTATGCTAGGGGGGAGGGGAGGGGAGGGGGGGGGGCTACGTTATGTTACGGTTAGAGTCACATAGTTGGAGAAAATATGTTGTGAATCACAGTGCTGGCAAGCACGATCGTCGGTCATATTAATGTATTTGCTGGTATGGCATAAAAATAATTCTTTAAATGATATCCCCATAAGATAAACGACAATGTTTTGAGACTAAGCAATAAGGCACTCCAATCCATCATGATCAATATCTTGACAGGTAGTAAGTGACCTTGACATATTTTATTAAATAGCGCTGATTTGTTTGGGACCTAATAAATATTCCTTCAAAATCTAACACCAATTTGTTGATCCCTAAACGAAAATTTAGTTCTTAACCTGCACTGCACGATATGATATATCCTATAATATATATATTTTAACTGGATTCCAAGGAAGAAGAAAAAACGCCGTTTGAGATTAATTCAATTGATCCGATTCAAAAAGCTACTTATATAATGTAACATAATTACATGATAATATCACCACTCTAAAAATAATAAAAAATCGGGAAACCTAAACTTATAGAATTCGAACGAAAATGAGAATACACAAGATATCAAGAAGTTCAATATTTCAACCACATAGATTTGTAAAAAGGTAAAAGTAAAGGAGGTAAGAACACCGCCGCCAACAAACTGTCACACAAACTAGACGCAAAGAAACACAGGGACCTGTGTACTATTACACGTAAAACTACTAGTACACCTAGACCGCGTGAAAATTAAAGTTGGACTATGTACACAGTAATAATTGTTTAGGTCCGACACTAGCAGCACCCTAGACTACACAAAAAAAAAGCCATAGAAGAAGAAAACTTAATCGTCTAGGAGGACAACTGTCGTGCGTGTTGTGATACGAAAAGTTTTGCAGGGTTACACATGATTACCATGGTTACCAGCTTGGTTACCATGGTGACCAGTATGGTGACCAGCTTGGTAACCACCATGGTTACCATGGTTACCACAATGGTTACCGTGGCAACGCACCACGGTTGCTAAAGTAGCGTATGACAGCGACAGTTCTGTTCACCTCTCTCTATGCATCCACACTTTCGTAATCTGAAAAAGAAGAAGTGTCAATAATAATGTAAGGGTACTGAAGATGGTTATATTTGCATAATTACAGGGAGTATAAGATACCCACTGCCTTTGTGGGACACAACTGAGACGCTTGACAATACACAATACACTAAATAGACACTGCAGAGTTACACCATCTGCAGACAGGATCAGTAGACACAATGTCTATTTATAGATATTAATATTGTTATTTATAAAGAACAATAATGTTATGTCTGGTGAATTATCAATCGTTAACTTTACTGCTTTATTACTATTACCGGGGTGGGGCAGTCGATCAGATTACAGATTTCAGATGGAGAGAGTTCAAGATTATAATGGTAATAGGGGCTCCTAAATTACTGTTAGTGACTGGACTTATTACTCTTATACTGTACAAGGTGATGTACTTAGTTTTCACTGCTTTGTACACCAGTACTAAAAGGGTGATGAAGGGCTCCCTCCAAACGGGAGGAGAGGTAGAAGTTGAAACACAGGAAAATAGGCAACTTGGTAATATGGCGATTAAAAACTTATGGGTCACTAAAAATTCATTATTCATGGCTAGTACCCACTTAAGGGTAACCTATAACAATAGCAAATCCACTGCGATAACAACTTACCTCCTCTTGAGCACCAGGCCATAGCCATGCAGATCAGCTGGAAGAGCACGATCACCACGATCACGATGATAATGATAGACAGAGCGTCCTTAACCAGCATTTCGGTCGAGTTCAGACACCCGAACTGGTAAGCCTGGTCCTTGTCGCAGAGCTCTTCGTCGGCTGCATGGTTTTTACAACAACTGGCTGGCACTTGGGGAGCGAACTTGGCGTTCGTCCAGAAACCAGGTCCGTCAATTCTAGGGAGGTTTAACGTTAGAATCGGAAACATATAAAATATAATACGGACGGTTTTTATATGCAGGAGCTTTCAAAATACATTTGTTTATCAGAGTGACGTCAGAGTATTTAGCTTCAAACAGGTGAGAAGTTGAAGCTATATATGCTATGAAGCTGTATATGCTAAAGTATCCAACTTTTTAAAGTGGTGTATAAATACACGCGAAAGGTTTGGGAGTGCTGTTACATCAGAGACAAAAGGAAATCGCGAAATGTGCAGGATCGCGATTTTTCCTATTCTTTGCGACAAATTGTATGTGTCGTCTGTTTGGCTTGTCGCGGTATCGCGCCTTTTGGGCAAAATAATCGCGATTTTCTTTAATGTCCCTGTGTTACATACATTATTTTCAATGTTCAAAATTTCGCTATTAGAATAGAAACAAAATTGTGCTGTTATCATGATGGAGTTCCAGTAGTTTGGTTTCATGATTGACAGCTGACCAAGAAGTTTGTCCGGCCACAAGTATGGCCACATTCGGACAAATGAGGGCCGGACAAAAATCTTGTGAAAAGGCCCTGAAGGTATAAAGTAATCTAAGTCGATGTGTTTTTGGACGCTGATTCCGAATCACCCCCATAACAGCGGGTAAAAATGCTTCCCTGGAGAGTTATGGGCAAACATTTGTTTTGGTCACGTGACAGGCTAGTTAAATGCAAATTCGATTATTTAGAGCTCTGGTTAGGGTTAGGGTTGTGGTTAGGGTTATGGATAGCTCCGGGATTATGGTTAGGGTTGGGATTAGGGTTTATGTTCGGCTGCAAAACCATCAAAACCATAAAAACCAAAGTCGCGTGAAAATTTTGGGCGAGCGAATTAGTAAAAGATTAAATGCCGCACAAGTTAGTGCCGGACAAATTAGGACCGATAAGGTAGTTGCTATAGTTACCCGCAGCATTCAGCCTTCTCCTGATAGTATCAACAGTTGCACGGTCAATGGCGTCAGCATCAGGTCCCTTCTCATTCACGTCGTTGAAGGGGTCAGTTATAGCATCCTTAATCGTACTCTCCACTTTTCCCTTGTTGACGAAACCTGTAAGTACACTAGGTGTTACGAGTGTTTATCATTATGTAGTTGGTATTATTAAATAGCTTTAAGAGCCTGTAAAACATTATATGAGGTCTCACAAACCATAGATAAGAACACCAAGCTCAAGGACGATGATGATTCCCAGAAGAATAAGGTAAACATTAAGGAGTGAGAGTCTGCCTGTAATAGCTCCGAAACATCCGAAACATCCGATAAAGAAGAGGAGGACTCCAAGGATTATGAGGAATACAGCAGGAGTGGTTAGACTTATTCTGTAGAAAGTAGGGGTTAGCGTTACCCTTGGAAAAGAGGGGGTTAGACTGGGAAAATATATTTTTATTATTAAAGTTGTCCTCTATTTTATGAATCAAAATACTACCATAATTGATAATTTAGTTTACGATGGAATTCCTTTAAAGGTTCGTTTTTTGAAAGCAATTAGAATCTAAATATAAACGCAAAGAATTAATTTAAATTTTTGATTGAATACATTTTGTATATGGAATTTTAACTAAGCAAAATATTTCAAGTAGTAGTCGTAGTAGCCATATTATGTATGCCATGGAAATGAATATACATGTATAAAATGATAAACAAGTCAGATTTGTCTGTTTTTGTTGCTGACATTTAAAACATGACAGTTGTACAAGACATAAAGCCTCAAACTCATTACTTACAAATTACAATCTATACATCTTTGCTAAGTCAGATTATCAGGCTAAATTATACTCAAAATCATGTATGCCCATCATTATGTTGTCGCAATATTTTGCTCTCCCATGATAGAAATCAAGAAATTTATTTCATTAATATAATAATAATAATTGTGTATTTTGTGGAGAATGCGTACTGAGACGCTTATTCGTGCAAATTCCAATACCCAAACAATTTCATAAAAAACCCAAACATCAAAACAAACCAAAACAACTTAACGATAAAAACCCAAACATCAAAACAAACCAAAACAACTGTACGAAAAAACCTGCACAACAAATTAAACAACTCACCCCACATTATGGTAATCAGGGAGGTACTCCTTGCCACACAACAAAACTAAGTATGTGTAAAAACAACAAGTATAAGTAAAACAACTCACCCCACATCAGGGAGGTACTCCTTGCCCTTAGCCATGGTGAAGATGCCCATCCCGACCAGTACAATGCCGGTTAACAGGGCTATTGTGTTGATGATGATCAGGATCACCTTGGCGAACCCTTGTATGCATCCCCGAACCGATTCACACATCGTTTTAAAGCTAGTGTAGTTTGTTTTTTAGAACATGAATATGGTGTAGTTACATTGAAATGTTGAACAGTTTCCTTTATCTTGGTCGCAATATACGGAATTATCAGAAATTTTGAACTCTAAACTAGTAAATGAACAGCGGTTGATAACAGAAATAATGATAAATCATCGATATTTGAGCTTTCAGATAAATCGGTGAATGCAGAGGTGTGATTTAATCTTTAATATGCTTTTAATAGAATCTTTCTGAACGTGTCAAACAGTTTAAAAAGGCACGAATTACGTTCAAACAGAGAAATTTCGTTCAATCCAACAGTCAACAAATTCTAATTTTACGTAAGTCGCGAGCATATGACCATGTGAGATAGAAATTAAACATGCATCATCATTCCATCATTATTACCTCATTTGTAAAGAAACAACAGAGATAACATGTAACAAGCAACCATTGATTTTATCTCTCTTATAGTCACTTAGAGTAAAAAGAATAATATCATAACCAAAATTGCATATCATAATATGAATATACACTACACAGTATTATACTGTTATATAATATAATATATGTATACAAGCTATCAAATCACATTCGAAACGAAACCTGATCTGAAATTTTTCATTGATTTAGTTTATGGAAGAAAGTGAAAACTACGTTTTAGCTGTCAAAGGTCACAATTATTATGGCACTAAGAATTCACAAACTGACAGGCGAAAATTAACTTCGAAATCCTCAAATCATTTTGACGGCTCTTGTCACCATTTCTCTAGCCAGTAGGTTGCTTCAATTAACATCACAATGCGTAATCTGCAGACGACATTTGAAAAAATTCTAATAAATTCATCGATGAATTCTTTGTGAACGTATTTATAGCGTCCTGCGTATTGGATCCAATACGCAGGACGCTATAAATACGTTCACAAAGAATACTCATCTATGAAAATTCATAATTATAACCTAGTGATATATGTTTTGATTTACATATTTGTTATTCAACTGCAGTTATTTAACAAGAAGGGTTATTAATTCAACAAACAGTTTTGTTGCGTCTCTGTTTCGGATCATACTTGTCTAGTGTCTAACTGACATATTGATATGTTGATCAAATCACGATCAGTGACGGCGACTTTATAGAATTTTGCACGTAGATTATATTTGTTTGATCAATACGTCTAATATAGTGCTTACAAATAATTGCTAATCATTATCCTGTTACAATATTTTGATTTTTTGTTATATATTATCAAAGATATAAATCGGGAAATTTATTTAATTAATATAATGTACAACCTGTCGAAATTCTCATATATCCCATTAGGGGCCAATTATATGCACGTATTGTGTCGTAAATCAACGAAAAATGTTCCCTTCAAATAAAAGCGATGCCAAATAATAAAACTACAACGGTGCGTTATAGAGGGGGAATTATACCAAATAACGTATAAAATAACATCAATGGAAAGTGAATATTGAGTATCTTAAAAAGTTAGAGTTTACCGCATCTTTAAGTTTTAGGCATTACACTTTACAATTACTGTGCTACACACTATTATAATAGTCCTCTATTTTACATTAATGCTGCGTGTTAGTGTAAAGTAGAGAAGTAGTGCTGTGTGTTAATTCTGCTCATCACTCAAGTTAGGATTTAGTTTTTTTATTGAAGGAATATGCAAATGATAACCACCTTTGTTTGTATATGGAATGAGTTAATGTGTACCATATGGTCAAACTCGCGAAAATTCGAACTTTGATGAGGAATGTTTATTTGGAGAAGTAATTATCTATATTGGATTATTGGAGGATATCATTTCAATTACAAATTGATCATTGGTCTTATGGTGTAAAATATAATGTGGATCTGTGGGATTAAGGTATTTGGTATTTGTAGCACACGGGGAAATCATCAGGAGAGTTTATAAGCGTTCCTTCAGTTTAATCACGTGTATTTACTAAAGATAGCTATAGCCTTTAGGTAATCAGCATCAAGTTACTTACATATTTTATAATATTGGCAACTAATCAAGACATTTAACTCCTATGAGCTAAAGAAAGGTAGTGATTTCATTACAAAACTATTGCCGGAGCTGAGACATGACAACTGCATGGTTAGATTGCACGACATCAGTGGTAGAAACACATATCGGGGGTTACTAGATACTTAGATGTATGGAGTTTTTCTTAAAATAGTCCTCTTACAATAAGTAGATATGACACTGACAGGTAGATCAAGATACCTGTCGTCATAAGTTAAAGGCTATATATAAGCGAAGGCTGCATCTTGTCCAAATTCATTTGGCAGATGGATACTAAAGGCGAATGTTTTTAATGATTTTGCACGCAAACTGCAAAAGGCCTAGCTGAGCAATTTGGCTATAGAGATCATTTTCAAACACAGTTTCAAGAACGATTCAAATGATACGATTTTAAATGCATATTAGGGACTACAAGCAGCTCTCGCGAAATAAGTGTAGTTCGAAAAAGGGATGCATATTGTATTATCTCGAAAAATATTTCAGGAAATTTGCTTCCAGAACTGAAATCTAGCGATGTGAAATGATAAATCCAGCATTTTCTCTAATTAAAAATGACATATTTCAAGACCAAATGTAATTAAGTAAACTTATCAATAGATTCCCACACTTGATAATGCAATAATATTTGTATCCACCTAAAAATAAAATTGGGATTAAATTCGCTGATAAACTAATCGCACGACTTTACCACTTCTTAATGGTTATATCAAATATAGAAGTATTACAAGTTATAGTATTACATCACTTAATATGCGACTGCAAGACTTGCTGCAGCAATCCCCCGATTCACCAACAGAACTGTAAGATTAGGCAAAAAAGATGAGAAAAACAAGGAATGTAAATTTAGACTACTGCAAAGGGCAACTATCGTGCAGTTAGACAAAAAAGTTGGCCCCTTTTCGCCCCTTGTCCAGATTTTATGGGGAGCCCCCACCCCCAGCCCCCCCCCCCCTCTTCCTACACCCCTGCCCGTAGCACTCAACAGCCAAGGTATTATTGTATCATAACAACTTGTACTTAAATGTCCTATTCCTATGATATGTTGATAATGATAAAGGGACACATGAAGAACGAAACGCTCCTGAAACCATCAGGAAAATATGAATAATGACCACCAAAATAAGTAACAATTAAAACTTTTCTATTCAGCGTTAAACGATGAAGCTGAGGTAAAGAGGTCGCTACCCCGGCAACACATTGTTACAAATAGCTACTAATAATAACATTGCTCTGTTGTAAAAACTTAAGCAATGGTCAATAGTAAAAGAGTAAAAGAGCATTGATAAACAGTGGCTGCATAGTAAAAGAGTTGACCAGCTGAGTGTAATAAAAAAGTTCTGTCTTCAGATCATATAATTGCTAATGACCTGTGAAACCTATGTAATCTTATACACAACTCAATCTCATGAAGCGACGTGCGTTTGTTCAGTTTTACACATCATAGAAAGTTTAAAAGCTTTCACACAGATTAATATGAGATACACTTCCTCGTATTTAGAGGGTGTGTTTAGAGTAGGGAGGTTCACAAAGACAAAATATTGTTAAACCATTGCTATCTCCGGCTTATCTGTTGTTCTTAAGGTCGAATATCTACCAAAACCATTGGCAAGCTTCAACTCGAACCGAAAACACCTGGCCATACACTTTGCCGTCCAATCTCAGTTAGCATCCCAGTTGGTGTAATGAGTATTACTTAGCAGTCTCTGCAGTAGGGAGACACTATTGTACACGCAGTTATTCTAGGTGGTTGTAGATGGAGATATCTCATGAGGGCTAATTTCTAGTGTGTAAAACACAGCTCTTTAGAAACCATCTGCCGGACTATAGACCAATTATCATCACCTAGAGGCTAGACAGTTTTTAAAATAGTAATCAATCAGAAAGGTAACTAACCGCCTAACTCTTCCCTACTAAATAATCAATAGAAAGGTAACTAACCGCCCAACTCTTCCCTACTAAATAATCAATAGAAAGTAACTAACCGCCCAACTCTTCCCTACTAAATAATCAATAGAAAGGTAACTAACCGCCCAACTCGTCCCTACTAAATAATCAATAGAAAGTAACTAACCGCCTAACTCTTCCCTACTAAATAATCAATAAAAAGTAACTAACCGCCTAACTCTTCCCTACCAAATAATCAATAGAAAAGTAACTAACCGCCCAACTCTTCCCTACTAAATAATCAATAGAAAAGTAACTAACCGCCCAACTCTTCCCTACTAAATAATCAATAGAAAAGTAACTAACCGCCCAACTCTTCCCTACAAAATAATCAATAGAAAGGTAACTTACCGCCTAACTCTTCCCTACTAAATAATCAATAGAAAAGTAACCAACCGCCCAACTCTTCCCTACTAAATAATCAATAGAAAAATTACTAACCGCCTAACTCTTCCCTACTAAATAATCAATAGAAAAGTAACTAACCGCCCAACTCTTCCCTACTAAATAATCAATAGAAAAGTTACTAACCGCCTAACTCTTCCCTACTAAATAATCAATAGAAAAGTAACTAACCGCCCAACTCTTCCCTACTAAATAATCAATAGAAAAATTACTAACCGCCTAACTCTTCCCTACTAAATAATCAATTAAAAGTAACTAACCGCCCAACTCTTCCCTACTAAATAATCAATAGCAAGGTAACTAACCGCCCAACTCTTCCCTACTAAATAATCAATAGAAAAGTAACTAACCGCCCAACTCTTCCCTACAAAATAATCAATAGAAAGGTAACTAACCGCCTAACTGTTCCCTACTAAATAATCAATAGAAAAGTAACTAACCGCCCAACTCTTACCAGGTTTCGACCACTTTAAGTCTAGAGACGTATTGAGGCTATGTAACGGAGTGGCCGGGGATCAAGATGTGTTTTCAGGACTATCGTGGGGCAGTGACCCAGACTCACCCTCAGGTACCCTTACTGTCAATCTCAAGATAATAGTTTTATTAATTAAATGATAATGAAATCAAAAATTATCGTATTATATACAATATCGTATTATATACAATAATTCGTATTATATATAGTAATTTCTGATTTATTTATCATTTGGTTGATCAAATTATCATTTAAAATCAGTTGATTTGATAATAAAATCTTAGTGAATTCTAATTTTACTCTTTAAAAAACTCAGGTGACAAGCTGCTCTTTTTCTACTGTCAAGATGTCTCAGTGTCTATTTTAGCGCTTGCTGAGATAATTTGAGCATTTAAGTCAGGGAAGCTATGAAATTCATAAATAAACTGCTATATATATCAGTATAATGTGTGCAGTTTTTAAAATAACTTTATTTTACTCAGAAATAAGCTTAGTCTCCGTGGACAAGATTTGTCGAGTCAAGTGAATTTCAAACTGAGCATTTAAGTTATTTAAATAAAGGGGATTCCAAGATATTAATGGATTTTGGCACAGACGTTTTTAGTTTATCTATAAACGTTTATCTAAGATTTCTGTAAAAAGATCTATATTAGGGAGTCAGAGGGGGTTGAGGTTTTATATTTTAAACGGACTATTATTAAGTCCCCAGGACAATTCTACGACATATTTAGCGCAGACATTCTTAAATCATTTAAAAATTCACAATTCATTAATAAAAGTCATTCTGGGATTTTTTGCTAAATGATCTATTTAAAATGTAAATATTTTGAGGAAGCCACTAAACGGTCTTGTTTGCGATGTTCCAAATGTCTACTATAAAAACGCAGTGTCATCTCTTGACTCACATGTTATTAGGGAACTATTGGCCTAACTTAGGGCAAAGTGATAGACAATATCTCAGCTCCTAATTGTGCGACTTAACACAAGTTTTTTCGGGAGAATACAGCCTCACTAAAACTTTATCACGCTATGTATCAGGGTACATTATAATCCGACTAGTTACTATATAAGACTATCGTTACTGAGTAATACCTATTATTTCAGGGTACAGCATAATCCGACTAGTCACATACCCCCTCAACAGCTCAGTGTATCCAGATTTGTCTGCCAATATTCTTTATGGTAGAAATAAGGTATGTTCAGCTTAATAATTTATATACTTTTAAAATGATTCGGCTGTGGTCCTACTGAAAAATTAAAAAAATTTTTTTGACAAAATTTCACCAAATTAACGAAATTCTAAAAAGGTCGGAAATGTTCTCACTGATCATTTCCAGTTACTTTGAAAATCTATGCTTACATCACCTAATGATTACTGTTGCTCTACTTCACCTAACATCCCTCCGCAGACGTTCCCAGAAGAGAGTATATTCGTGTGTAACTCGCTCACAGCATGCGTTGTAATACTGTTCAGATTGAAGGGGGCTAACAAGGGGCTCATCCACAAGGCCATGAATCACTTTGTGGAGGCCATCTCTAAAGCTATTGATTTAGGAGTGTAGCCCTTTCTGTCAGGTTAACTTCTTCACCGTGTCAAGGGGCTCATCTCCAAAGCTATTGATTTAGGAGTGTAGCTCTTTCTGTCAGGTTAGCTTCTTCGCCATGACAGATTTAGGAGTATAGCCCTTTCTGTCAGGTTAACTTCTTCGCCATGACAGATTTAGGAGTGTAGCTCTTTCTGTCAGGTTAACTTCTTCACCATGACAGATTTAGGAGTGTAGCTCTTTCTGTCAGGTTAGCTTCTTCACCATGACAGATTTAGGAGTGTAGCTCTTTCTGTCAGGTTAGCTTCTTCACCATGACAGATTTAGGAGTATAGCCCTTTCTGTCAGGTTAACTTCTTCACCATGTCTGTTATACAACTGATCGACAGTTAAAGCCAACTGTGTGCTCTGTAACGAAGAGATTGATTTGTCGAGAATTTTGCCAGCATGTGGACTTTTTGATGCGACGGAAAATGTTCAAATATGGCGCAAGTCGTCGTATAATAAGCGACGACACTGAAACTGCTCAAAAGCTTTTTGCTGCAACTGGAACATTTGATTTTTAATGACATTTTCCTATCAAAGTAAATTAATATGTGTGATTTATGTGAGACTTTCATTGTTATGATTTGAGTGATGTACGCCAGTTTTATTGAGATGCATTAATTACTTTTCGGATTTGTGGCTTTTGTGTGCCACTGAACGGTTACTAAGTAACGGTTACTAAGTTACTGAACGTTAAAATTTGTTGTTTACTCAGATTGATGTTTTTGAGTTAAAGCAACTGGATTGGTAACAATGATGATATTTTTTATTGCTCAACCAATATTCATAAAATTATGCAGATATATATGGAAAAAAAGATGAATAAAATGCATTAATACCTGTCAAATAAAAAGAAAAATAAATACATAAATGATCCATATCTCATGTCCCTGATAGGGTTGCCATTATCGGTACCAAATTTTGTATCGCGATAATCGATAATTTTTTCAAAATTATCGCGATAATATCGGTTATCGGCGATAAATTTGGCAATATAATTGAAGTAATATTTGTATGCACTCTGCATACTTGAATTATGCTCATGTGTTATGTTGCATCTTGTGATGATTACTTTGTTAAAGAATCAATTGCAATATTGCCCTTTTATTTAACAAGCCCATATTTCATACTCATAGACAAAATATGTTCTTAAAGACTTATTGCTTCTAGCAAAATTTAAAAAAGAAATCAGCATATGCACGACGTATTTATTTGATAGTATCAGTTTCCTGCCTGTTAGCTGTGAACAGATCTATCTCCCGAGCAAGGGTATCTACTATCTGTCCTTGCTACCGTAGTCGAATCGCTGCCCTAATGTAGGTCTGATAATTGTTTTGTCAGCGGGATAGGATTGGAATCTGGCATCTGAAGTTGTAGGAGTCCAACGATACGAAGTGAAGGTTCTTTCTCTTGGCATATCGTGTACGTAGCTTATCGAGAAGGGTTCGAGAAAGTGGCGAGTCTTATATTTCAGATATCTTCTAGCTTTACTTGCTGTCAATAAACTAAATAATCACTTCTGCTTGAGCGAGCTTGCTGTCTCTTTTACACAAAGACTCAGTTACAATCTTGAACGGTGCGAGAGTCTTGGTAATGTCTTTAGCTAACTCAGTCTCTTCTACATCCAGTTTTAGATTGCCTAGCTCCAAGTCATCTAAAATTCTGTGCACTGCATAAGTTATCCGGTCATATCTCTCCAACATACTGCACAGCGAGCTCCAACGGGTTTTGTAGTTTCGTTGCAGTCTGAGTTCCTTTTCGTGCAATTCAACAAACAACAATAACTACGTCTGACCATACAACCTCCAAGTTACCTACTAGATGCGATAACGCAACATTTCAATGTTCACTTCCACAAATTCATACACACTACACAGTACACACTACACAGCACGTCAGCAGACCATCACACTGAAAATTATGCTAGCACTGAGTTTTAACTTAACAAACAGAGAAATAGATTCGAAAAATATGTTGAATTTTGGCCATTTTACCCTTTAAATAAACATTTGTTGATTATCGCGATAATTCTCGAAAATTATCGCGATAATCGATAACGATTTTTGGGAAATTATCGCCGATAATTATCGGCCGATAATATCGGTTGGCAACCCTAGTCCCTGACCATGTCAATATATGAGTTTAGCAACTTTTCAAAACAATCACAAACCTCTTGGTACTCTACCGATGAGTAACAGTGTACACTAGTTACTCTACGAGATAAGGAAACTAAATGGTCGTCAGTTATGGAATCATGTGGTCATTGAAAGTCAACTGGATCACATGACAGAAAAAATGCTGAACTTTTTTTGCACGCTCTCAATAATCAATCAAAAAGATAACGAGTCAATAAAACACGCACAAGACAGCTCATCAGGGTATAAAACAATATTTAACAAGACAGACAATAGATAGAGACAACTAATTACAATAGAGGCTGTGTGTTAACTTCTACTCACCTTTAATATTCACATAGTTGCCTCATTCCATGAGCAAATTTCCAAGCGGTGTACATTTTTGTGGAACGATGATCATATATTTTGTATCAACTTAGAATAATATCGCAAAACGCAGCAATAAAAGGTTATTGGAAAATATTCAAATTATTTTAAATTAATCGGATATTTGAAATATGTTAACTCATTAAATAATTATGATATTCATGGTTGAACTTGAAACTAAATTGCTGTCAAAGTTATGTTAACATAAGGCCAACAAAGACGAATCTTTTAGTACTAAATTAGTGCTTTTAGAAGACAAATACCTCACGAGACATATTTATATGGTACGAAATTTGAGGATTTTTGGAAAAAATGGGAAAAAATCCCCATATTTTCGTACTGAATTTCTGAAATTTCGTACTGCATTACTGTATTTCTGAAAAAAATCCCCATATTTTCGTTCCCCCATAATTTCGATCCCCGCTGATTATGATCCACATAAATATGTCTTGTAAGGTAGTCTTAAATAATTTTCTAGCTCGAACACAAGGGTCTTCAAGTATTATAAATTTGTCACTAAAAGATTCGTCTTACCAAGCTGATTACGATTCTGTAAAAATTATTTCAAAAAAGCTGATACTTTTTGAGTTATAGGCATTTTAAGCCTATAATCTGCCTTTTTTGCCCCTTTTTTACGATGAATTTTACTAAGTCGTTTGAGGCCACATTTCATAGCTTAAACCTCAAATCTGAGTGAAATCCTACTCCAAAAAGTTTGATATGATCATCAGCTACACTCACAAAGATTTTTCGAAGCGATATCTGCTGACCCGGGTGATTGGTGAAATGTACAACTTAAGAAGTAGGCAAACATTTCAATTTTTCTTTTTTCGACCTTGTTTGGTCTGTAACATCGTCATTTATCGTTCAAATATATAATCCTTTCAATGGCTTCTTGTACGGATTTTAAGTAATGTTCAGTCAAAAAATCAGTCAAAAAACGTTAAAAACGATTGAAATATCGGTATAACACTAACAGTGACAGACGGGTCCTCAAAAATATTTTTTAATGTATCAAATCTTATTGTTTTGATGTATACTTTCTTAATATGAAGTTAACAGCATGTTCAGGACATAAAAGCTTTTTGTATATGTCCCCTTAATGTAAAGTGTTTAACAAGTTTAACAATGAAATGAGATAGTTAAACGAATATGTTGGGGAATTAAACTGATCAAGTTTGAAGAAAATCAAATATTACCTACCATAAATGACTAGCGAGCACTACAAGTACATCTTAAAAATTCGTTGTGTCTCGTAGTTCCAGCACTTCCACTAGTAATATTGCACTCTACTACATTTCAAAAAACAATGTTGTTCACGCAACCAAACAGCACTAGCTGGTAATTTAGCCGCCCCACTGCACACGTGCAGATCACTATAATTACACTTATATCACTATAGTTACACACAGCAACACACGCAACAACACAAGCTATAGCACTAAAAACAACCCCTTTGTCCGGACCACACACAACTACTGCACGGAGCTTTTTCTATTATCTATAATTAATTTTAAGCTACGAGAACTATAGTTCTTATTAGGGGACCTCGTAGCTTAACTGCTGGGTGTAACTGTGTACTGTTAATTTAACTTTTACATGGTCACCAGCTGATGATGATCTTTAGACTCAACACTCATTATTATAGCTGGGAGATAATAATTAATACTAATAATTAAATTTGACCGTGAAGTTATGAACAGGTGTGTAAAGCAGGTCTTTAACAAAATGTTATTGAATCACTGTAATATTCACATGGTGATGACGATACTTAGAGGCTGCAATAATGATGAGTACTGCCTGGATCTCGGTGAAACTAATTTGATCCACAATATCACGACAGGCCCTACTATAGATGTTTTATCTTATTTACCTGAAAAAATGGTGGATGCAACATTCAACAACAATTTTCAGTGTGACTTCGGCCTAATTAGAGAATACGGGAAAATCATAAAAACAATGTTTTGAAAATATTTCCTTGTGTTTGAAATTGATAACATAATTTTGTCAATGTCACACGTTTCGTATATTTATTTGATCACTCCGCAAATACTTGTAGATTATTGATAATCGGAGATGATGTAAATATATTTGAGAGTGTTCTACTTCCACGATCTTACAATTTTCCTCTTAGACAAATATTATATGAAGACGATAACCGTGATTAAGGATTCCAGTCCTTCCAGTCCTTCCTAAGCTGTGTTTTACGTAATACTGTATGAACGATCTCTTGAACTGTCAGTTGGAAAGTGATTCGCCTGACTCATGACGCATGCAAGTGTCAGTTTGGGCACGGGAAATAAAATGTATTTAATAGTGCAGCATACCTATTATTAACCAAGCATAATATCAGGGTTAAGATTAAAATTTGACGTTGGCTACTTCGAGTGACAGTTTGGTATACAGATTGCACGTCAAACAACTTGACGACTTTAAGTTGACGCTGCTTCGATGTCATGATGGGGAAATAAT